ACATGTGCACGTCGGGGGCGGGGCGAGCGGGGCTCACTCACGTGTGTCTGCTGGAACTGAGCCCGCGCACACCTGTGTGAGCCCCCAGTGTGCTCCGGGGTCGGCCGTCCTGCTGCACTGTGGCGTCTCCCAGCACCGGTCTGTCCACGCTAAGCCCAGGTACATCCCGGGCACATGGTGAGGGTCTGTCACCCCACCGTCTCGAGTCGCTCCAGAGGTTTCTGCCGCATGTCGCCACCTCCCCAGCCCGAAGCCGGGCTCCGGGCCAACCTTCCTGCTCGGGGCTGGAGCCACAAAGCAGGATTTTTCATTTACGTCAGTCACAGCTTTTTCTCTAATCCCCCGTCCCCTGAGATTTGAAGAAGTGCAGCTATTGGAGCTAGAAACACGAGGACAATCTAGCTAGATTCTCTATTTTGTAATTGGAGAGCCGGGGCCCAGAATGCTGACACCCGCTGCCGGAGGAACGGGGATGAGACCCTCGTCCCCCGATTTCTGATCCTGGTGGCTCCTCTGTGCGGCCCCTTCCCTCCATGTTCTAAGCCCCCGCGTGGCCGGAAATACGGACAGAAGGCACCACACCGCAAACTCCATGCAGTACATCCCCTGAAGTGGGCGAATGGCTTTCTCGTAGAAAGATGACTTGTAATGGGTTATCAGGCCTCTGGTTGTCATCGCTGGGTCTGTTTTGACAATTCCATCAAATCAGGGAAACACCGACAGACAGCAGTCGTTGACACAAATGGCCGCTCGCGGTGCGAAAGTCGTCTCCATGTGTCTGATGAAGGGGAAAGTCTGAAAGCTCCTGTCAGCTTCACAAGGGGAGCAGGGAAAGCAGCGTGGGTGGGAGCACCCTCGTCCGGCCCCTGAGCCCCGCCCAGAGCTGGTGTCCACTGCATGCTCTGGCGTGTGCGTACGGTGGCCACACGCACCTGCTGAGACGCATTCTCTGTGTGCCAGGACCTCGGGTACGTGTGCAACGTGTCTGGAGTGCACGACGCCAGGGCCACCACCTGAAAGCATGATGGCAAGAGCCACACACCTGCGGCCACACCTCACAGGGGCACAGGACGGCAGAGAAGAAGGGACAGGAGGTCCGCGTCTGGCCAGTTGGGTCCTGACGGTTTGGCCCGGGAAGAGGAAAACAACCTCCTGTCTCACGTGACCAGAAGCAGTTCATTCTGTTCCTGCCAAGCCCAGGCAGGAGGCCTGCGGCTGCTGGCGTGTCGGGTGTGGACAAGGGTCAGGAAGCGGCGCCCCGGCCAGCAAAGCCAGCAGGCTCCCCGCGCGCCCGGGCGCTGAGCTCTGCCTGTCTTCCTCCACGTGTCTTCACTTTGTCTTTTTTTAAATTAGGTTATCGGGTAGATTTATCTGTTACTTTCCTCAAAGAACTAGGATTTTTATTGATAAATTCTACACTTTTTACTTTATTAATTTGTAATTTTATCTTTATTACTTCCCTCTTTTGGTAAACTTTGTCATTCCATTTCCAGTGTTTTTTTGTTCTTTTTTATTATTCACATGGAAGACAATGAATTTTCTTCTGGTCACTCTTCCCTGTCCAGATGCTCCGACACACTGTGATTTTATTATCTTCGTTTCCCAGTTCTCCCACCAAGTATTGTATTTCCTTTCCCCAGGGAATTGTTTTAAGAGTTTAGAAACACGGGCCCCTTGGTTAGCTCCGTCAGTGAGGCACCCGACTCTTGGTTTTGGCTCAGGTCACGATCTTAGGGTCGTGGGATCGAGCTCAGGGTCGTGGGATCGAGCTCAGGGTCGTGGGATCGAGCCCCGCCTCGGGCTCCGCGCCCAGCACGGAGTCTGCTTGTCCCTCTGCTTCTACTCGGCCCCCAATGATGCTCATTCTCTCAGTCTTATTCTCCCTCTCTCAAATAAATAAGTAAATAATCTTTAAAAACACCTCCAGAAAGAAGATCTGTGTGACAAGGGTGTCACTCATTCCTGGTGGTGTGGCACCGTGATCAGCGAATGCCGCCACCATCGTCCATCTGAGGACCCGCTGGGATGTCCATTGTGACCCCATGTCTGCTTGACCATTGTCGCTGTTCCGGGAGCAGCCGAGGTTGCGCAGTCGTACGTTTTGGGGTGTATTCATGAACGCTGCCTGGGGGTCACGCCGGTCTGCACACTGTTTCCCGCCTCCTGTCCCCAGACCCCGAGGCCAGGGTGTCCCGGTCCTGCTGTGCCTTGCCAGCGTCTGTCTCCCCATCACCTGCGTCCTCCCGTGCGGGGCGGATGGCTTATGGCCGCTGCCTCTCCGCTCGCAGAGCAGCCTCCGCAGCACGGAAGGTTTTCTGTGCCTCCCTTGGGGGCCTCGCCGCTGCCCTGTCCGACGCCGGCCGTGATCCTGGCTTTCCCGCCTCTGCCCGTTTCCATCTGCCTACGTGCGTCCCCCTCCCTGCCCCGCGGCCGTCGGGTTCGAGCTACCGCTCCGAGTCGCACTGTCGTGTGGTCTGTGTTCCGCGCGGAGCCGGGTTTTTGTCTCGTGGGCAACTTGCCAGTCTTCGGTGAAACCACCCCTGCGTGTGTTGAATGACTGACACGTTTGATCAAGTCTCGGAAGCATGAATAGCGTCTCTTGGTGTGTTTTCCAGGTTTCTTTCCGTATGTGAGCAATTTCGTTTCCACTCGGAACACACCAATTTTGGTGTTTAGGACAGTCTGTGCTTTTCTTCTGAGCTAACCTTCACCCTAACATCATGTTAATGCCCACGGCCCCACCTCACCTCACACAGGCTTCTCTATCCGGCGGGTCACTTTTAAAAGAGAAGTCCTTGGTGACACTCGGTGGACCATCTCACGGTCCCCTTTTGCTTCTCCCTCATGTCTTCTGATCTGAACGGTTCCTGTGTTTCCAGAACAGGGACATTCACATGCCACCGTCTTACCACCGTCCCACTTCGCCTGTGGCCTCCGGCATGTGGACCGGCATGTGGACCGGCGTTCAGCCCACCCCGTCAGCCCCTTGCGGACATCCGCCACCTGCTCCTCGGTCAGTAAAGCCTCTCCCCTCGTCGATGCCCCCAGAGGTGGGGGCGCGGTGTCTCCTAAGGTCCTCTGAACTCCTGGCCAGCGGGACCGCCTAGTGCACGCGACCTCCCTGTCTCTCCCAAACGCGAGGCTGAGCCATGGCCTCCAACGCTCTTTGGGCTGGTTTCACCGTGGAGATCCCCCACTTTGCTCCAAGGCTCTGGGAAGTTCAGTGTCCCAGCCTCATCGTCAGGCACAAGGACGTCACGGACACTGACGCTGGAGCCGGCCTCTGGCTGGGGACCCCCGAGCACAGGGAGGCACCGGCAGCAGGAAGCCACATCCCGATCGCGGCTGAAGCGCGGGTCCTGTTGCGCCGCGCGGGGCGGCACCTCGGGGCACGGCAGTCAGACGGTGCCGCGGCTTCCTGCTGTTCCTCTTTTACTCCTACGACATTTTCTCTTTTTCCTGCTCATTTTCATTCCTGTTCTTGTCGATTTCCAAGACTTTGCCCACTACCCCTTATTTATTACCTTTTAAAGCAAACGCACCCCCTCTTGGGCCCTTTCTGGCTTTGTCTCCACCTTGGGCAGGCGGCTCGCGTCTCCGCTCTGATGCCACCTCACGTTAAGTCAACTCCCCTTTCACGCGTCTCCGGGTTCTGCCTGTTTGTCTTCTGAGTTCCTGAGATTCTGCCTGGCCGTGTGCTTTGTCCTCACCCTACGCTCCTGCGGGAGTAACTCATCCGGGCTGACCCGCGTCCGGGTTTTCCTGGGCTCGTGTGTCTGGATTCAGAGAGAAGTCCCTCTGAGGCCGGCCAGCCACTCCTTTCCCCTCCGCGTGGCACGTCCAGTCTCCAGCCGAGCGCGTGTGAGGCTCACAGGAGGCTGGGGCTGGGGGAGGGGAAGGCTCTGGGGCCTCCAGGGCTTTCTTGGGGCAGGACGCCTGCTTCTCCAAGTCTGAGGAGACCCACAGCTTCTAATCCACGATGTTCTTCTTTCCAGAAGGTGCAGAGGTTGGGGTTGGGGGATCTCCCCATTTCTAACACGACGCCTATCTTTGGCTTGTTTTCCCTCCTCAGCACACACCTCGTCACCTCACTGCTTGTCAGCGCGTGTGTCCTCGTCCCAAGTCATCACCCTCTCCGGAGGACTGGGCGCTCCCAGGCCTGGTGCTCGTGCCCCACACAGCCGCCCTCCAGCTCCTCTCTTTGGCTCCCGTGATGGCCGGTGCTTAGGCCCGCGAGTACCGCTCCACTCGGTGGGGCCACTCTTGCTGGCTTCCCCTCCCTTCCGAGCAGAGTTCACTGGGCTCTGAGCGCGCTCCGGGAGGGCTCCAGGATGCGGGAGGTTATCTCCACACTCGCCGGGTAGTGGACACGCGCGTGGTGGCCCGTCCTGCTGGCGTGGGGGCTGCGGAGCTCCCCTACACGCAGGGGAACTCAGAGGGCGTGCGCACGGACAGGGGTCAGCGTCCGCTGTTACTATTTTGGAACCAGAAAGCACCTTTCTCCTTTCTGTCGTTTCTCTCCCACGGAGCCCTGCTCAGACCTCACTGAGCTATGGTGCGCGTGCGGGCGCGACCTCAGTCTGTGACAAGCGTTCGTGCTCCTATGGCTGCGCGCTGTACAGACCTTTTCTCTGCATCCTGTTCCGTTCAGTGGGCGGTGTCGCTCGTTCGTGTGTTTAAGTGTTCTTCCATTACTGGATGCTGATAAAACAGTTATGTTTTTCTTTTTTTTTTTTTAAGATTTTATTTATTTATTCGACAGAGAGAAATCACAAGTAGGCAGAGAGGCAGGCAGAGAGAGAGGGGGAAGCAGGCTCCGCGCTGAGCAGAGAGCCCGATGCAGGGCTCGATCCCAGGACCCTGAGATCATGACCTGAGCCGAAGGCAGAGGCTTAACCCACTGAGCCACCCAGGCGCCCCATGTTTTTCTTTATTTAGAATTATTTCCTTAACCTGGATTTACAATCGTGCAATTAATTGGTGAATCAGTATGAAACGTTCCAAGGTCCTTTGCCTAGTTTTCAAGTCATTCTCCAAACTGTTTCAACCGCGTAAACTCCCAGCTGTATTTGGAAGTTTCTGGTGTTTGACCAGGGTTTGTCCCCTCGAATGGCTGCTGACTGCGTTCTACGATGCCTTCTCTGCTTGTTGGGGGAGGATGGCCACAGGAGAAATTCACACCAGGCCATGCAGGCAGAGCGAGGCCGCCGTGTCAGCCTCTGGAGGCTGTCTCGGGGTGCCGGTGCGGCAAGTGCCTGGCCCACCCCTGCTCCGGTCCCAAGGGCCCTCTTCTGCAGCTGGTTTAGGTCTGGAGTGCGTGTGAGCAGCTCCAAGGCCCAGGGCCCAAGCTTCCCCTCTGGGTCCTGTGTCTTGGAGGCTGGGGGGCAGTTCTTCCTAATGGATTCTCATTCGTCCCTGCTTGTCCCATCTCAGTCCACCTTTCCTTCCAAACTGCTGGCCTGAGGATCGAAAGGGACTTAGGGTCCAAACCAGACATAGAGTCGCAGCCTTGAGCAATCTCCCTACCTTGGCCATGCCGTGGAGGGCCTAGTCCTTTTGTGTATCTGCTCCTGCCACGGCTAGCATCCTGCTTCTGTGACCAAACCCTGCCCTCCCGCTCTCACCATCAGCAGTGGTCCTGGAGGGGCTGGAACGGCATGTGTTCCCATGAAGCACAGTCATGGGGTCAGGCTGTCTGCCACTAATCGCAGTCCTGGAAAGTAGAGTGCCCAGAGGGGCTCTGATCCAGGTCATCACAAGCCCACTGTTTTCCATTAATGACCTCGGGGGCGTCTTTGACACCAGCTGTGAGCATCTGGAAGCCAGGGACTGTCTCCTTTGCCCCCATCCTGACCCCGGTGCCGCACAGTGCCCAACACATGGTGGCCGTTAGATTAACCTTTAAGGCCATCAGCTTCTCGGCCTCAATGTCTCCCTCCTGGCCCAAAGCTACTCTGAGGCCTGCGGGATCCTTTTACCTGCTTGAAATGAAAGGAAGACCATCCATCATCCGTGGAAGGCTTGTGGGGTGTAATGAAACACTTAGTGCAAACTGTCCTGATGATAACTGGTGCCGCTCAGACAGGAGAGAGTGGGAGTCATCTATCCTGTGCAGTAACCAAAACCACAAAATATTTATTGAAAAGTTTTTTAAAGTGTCATTCTACTTGCAAATGCTGTGCTGCAGACATATGTCAACCGAGTATGCCTTCGGCACGAAGACGCAAGCGAACAGAGATATTTTAATTTGAGCTACAGTACGCGCCTCGTCTGACAGCTTTATGCTGAATCTCACGGCCTCCGTATGCTGCGGCCGATGACGAAGCTGTCTCCTTTTATTCCCAGCACGGAGAGCGGGGTGGTAGGGCAGGGAAGAGGCCACGCAGTGAGCGCCTACTGGGTGCGAGGCACTGAGGTCAGTGATCGGCTTTGCGTTTTAGCAAATGCTCCCAGGAACGGTCCGAGAGAGCCTCGTCCCCCACGCGCATACGGGGAGACAGGCTCAGACGGGATGAGGAGCCTGTCCACAGCCGCGCAGACGGTAATTGGCAGAGGCGCGGTTTTATCTCAGAACCGTGGAATAAAAAAGCTGTTGTTTGTTTTCCTTAGGCCCAGAGATAGCAAGGCTGCTCTCAGCAGGCGGACGAGACAGGAGGGCTGCACACTCTCAGCATCTCTGTTACTGTCCCCGGGTAGCCGTCCCCAAGCCCAGAGGAGAGAACAGGGAAGGGCCCCAAAGCGGCAGGCCGGGGACGTGGAAGGGGTAGTCTCCTCACTCCGGGTTCCAAGGAGGAGGCACGCCGGGTGCAGGCAGGAGCTTGGACGAACAGGGAGGCACTGGACGGGACAGCCAGTGTGGGCAGGGGAGGGCGTCCGCGGGGCTTTGGAGGGTCCCACCGTGCTGGAGGACAGCTCCACGCTCCCTGTCGGGAGGAAGCAAGAGGCGACTGTGTAGCCACCGCAGAGAGCCGGCTTTGCCCTGCCTACAGGCACCCCACGGACACCCGCCTCAGGACACGCGGACCTCATGGCTGGGGACCTGTTCCACTCCACCCGTGGGTCCCAGTCCCAGTTCTCATGGTCTACACTGCCAGGGGACACCAGCCACAAACAAGCCACTTCTCTTCTTACCTGCCCCGTACATGGGAGAGCTTCAAGGTAAAGTCCCTCCCCAATTAGTAGTGCGCGTCTCTTCCAGAAGCCTGTCCACATCTGCCCTGTGGGCTTACAGCTGAGACATCGCGGGCTGTTACCCTGGGCTGTAGGAAATTCACAAACCCCGAAAGTCCATATAAAATTCAGTCTATGTGTGTCTGTGTGTACGTGTGTGTATATGTGTGTCTGTCTGTATGTGTACGTGTGTGTGTGTGTGTACGTCCATGTGTGTGTACATGTGTGTCTGTGTGTATGTGTGTGTTAGAAAACCAAATTCCAGGGCCCACCCCAGAGCAACGCATCAGAGACGGGGGACGCATCAGTGGACAGCAATGTGGGGTATAATGAGCCCCCAGGAGACACAAATGCCCGCACAGGTCTGAGACCACGGCCCCGGGACGCAGAGGGAAGGTGAGCAAGGACGCAGCCCCGGGGCCTCCAGCAGAAGGCGGGCAGCGAGCAGAGAAGCAGCCAAGAGCGGCCTCCCACGCCTGCGGGCCTGGAGCTTATCTGAACCGTCACGTACTAAGTGACCTCTTCATCTTCCCAAAATGCTCACAGCCATCTGCTTGTTTGGCCTGTGAAAGGGATTTGTTTTTATAGTTAATATCAATATATCGAGGCTATGTGTGCTAAGAAAATTATTTTCATATTTCAATCACATCACAAATGAGGCAGCGCAACTAGAAGCCGTCTTCCTGGAGGCTGGGCGCCCCGCGTGGCAAACAGTGATCCGTCCTGCCAGCGAGCATCTGTCCGCCGACTGGACGGGTCCCCGTGGAAGTTCGGGGTCCTGGGACACGGCGGCCGCACAGCACCTCCGTGTGGGCTTCTTCGTGGCAAAGACTCTGTCCCGGACCAAACTTTGAACATTCCTGGAGCCCTCTCTCCACCTGGGCCTCGTCCTTGGACCTGTCCTTGGCCTGCATAGACCTGCAAGAATCCTGCTGAGTCGGTTCAGCGGGGGCCACTCCAGCTGTCCGCTCCCCTTCGCCATCCAATGGCTCCTCGTCCCCAGGCTTGATGCCCTTGGTCTGCCCCCAGCAAGAGTCCTGCCAGGTTGGTTCTACGAGGCCCTCCCCACCCTGGTAGCCCCTCCCAGGTGTTTTCCACCCACTGACCAGACCCCGCTCTGGTGCCACTCAGTCCCCAGCCGTGTTTCCTGTGTTTGGAGTCGGGCTCAGTCCTCCCGGAGCCGCCCTGCCCTGCTGCGGTCGTGCGGAGTGAAGTTGTCTCTTGCATCCTGAACGAGCTGCTGGGTCTCCTCCCCTCACACCACCTCTGCCCGCAGTCGCCACCTCTGACGCCCCAAAGGTACACCCTTCTCACTAGACGTTGCCCACGATGTGCCCCTTCAGGGTCTGGCCCCGTGGGTGCCCGACTCCCGGGGAACTGAGGAAGAGCGGCCTTCCCCAGGTTGGGGGGCTCTTGCGCTCGGGACCTGCTGTTTACTCAGCAGTTCTTCTCCAGGCCAGGGCGCTCGCATGTCTTTGTGCATTAGCCGGAGAGGCTCGGTACAGTTATGAGCACGTCCACACCCTGGAGACTAACACCACAGGGCTTCCCTCCTGCTCAAGCCACGGTCTAACCCGTGCTCTCAAGGCCTGGGCCGCAAGATCCCCCTGTGCACACCAGCCAGTGAGGACAGAGAGAGGCTGTACGAGGTCTGCCTGTGCCGAACCCACTCTGCACACAACACCACCCTCCTGCCCATTTACACTCCAACGCTGAGAACCAGGCATGCGGGCACCAGGGTCTGGAATGTTCCAGCTCACTTCTCGGGCAGAAGGGGGAGGCCCCAGGCTGCCTCTGAGCCACAGTACAGTGGCTCAGTGACTGTACAGTGATTGTAATCTGAGCAGGTGGGGGGTCGGCCCCTGGAGTCTGGGCTCATGTGACAATAATGTTTCCATCACTGACCCGGTCTGGGCAGCGAGGCCGTCCGTCCCTGGTAATGACGTCTTCCACCCTGAGTCGCGCAGTGCCCACCACGGGGAGCGTGCTATGGTCTGCGCAGGACCCCCTCCCACCCCCTCCCACCCCCTCCCATCCCCTCCCATCCCCTTCCATCCCCTCCCATGCAAACAGTGCTTTTGTAGACCCCCTTCACTTCCCACCTCAGGATATCCCAATCCCACTGAAAACTCATGGACCCCATGGGAGCCCCAGCACCAGAACCCCCATACGCTTTCTCCGTGTCCCAGGGACGGGACATGCGTGTCCACGCTGACCTGGACTCCACACGCTTTCTGCTCCAGGTCTCTCCGCTTACATTCCTGCCCTCATCGCCCCAGCCCGTGACCTTGGCACCACCTTGGGCTTGTCTAAGGGCCCCTCCCTGTATCTGTCACCCAGTCTGATGCACCATGGGTTCCTACAGTTAATACTCGTATTAGTTACCAGAAAGTTATTCACACGCCCGTGTGTTCCACTAGATTTCAGAATGAATCCTTAGAAGAGATTATGGCTGAATTAGAATAACTCCCACCCAGACAGCCCCGTGCCGTATCAGATCCGCCATGTTCCGGGCCCGCGTGCGGTGCATCTATCCCCCTGAGTGGTGCGCACTGCGAGGCCATCTGAGGAGAGAGGCGGCCACTGCCATGACATCCACGGACGCGAGAACCGATTCTATCCTGCGTGGAGCCTCCCGGGCCATGTCTTCTGCTAAGTGGTGCTGGGTTCACTTAGAGACAACTGGTGAGTTGAGACGAGTCTTCAAACTGTCGAGGTTTTGTCCCTGGGTCTGGTGTGACTCCCCCTACCCTCACCACATGGGCCCCCGAGATGTGGTTTAGACTGTGCTCCCTTGCAAGGTCCCCACACCCAGAGGAAGCATCTTCCGGGCTGTCCATGGAGAAATGTGCATTTTAGAGCAAGAGGGTCGACGGCTAGACGCCTGCAGTCAAAAGCCCAGGGGCGCACGTGGGGACCCACAGAGGTCCCCAGACACCTAGACCTCAGACGACATCCTGCCTCCTTTCCACCCTGCTTGGCCTCGATGGAGTGGCTGACCCCCATGTAGGCCCTCCTTCACCGTGGGGGTCTCTGGGTCTCCACACCTCAAGTGAGCATATTAGACGTTTCTTTTCTAAAGAAAAAACAATAATACTTAGCTCTCCTATAGAGCTCTCCATCTTCAAAGCAGTTTCACACACAGAGCAGTAAAAGCGAATGCAGACTTGTAAAAGTAACACTGTAAAGATGCCTGGGAATTATGAACGTGCCATAAGTAAAATTAAATTGTGGTGAGAGTAGGAGCATTATTTTTATGCCTAGAAAACCTTACTTACAAATTAACTGTAGAGAATCCAGCAACTCATATTTTTAAAGTTCGTGTTTTAAAACCGTTATCAGCCAGGTGCGCATCCTCGACCGGCCTCTGAGGAGAAATCAACCGTGTTCTTGTGGCATGCGCTGGAATGCAGGGTTCCTGGGCCGGAGCGCCCACCTCCCTTCCGGGGCCCTGAGCCCTGCAGGGTCACGCCTTCCCGCGCCATGTGTAGGGACGGCCACTCTGCCCAGGCCCCTCCGAGGGCGGCGGGAAGCTGGGCTGGGCCAGAGGTCTGCACTCCAGGGTCTTCGGGCTGTCCTGCAGGAGCCCGGGGGTACCCGGCACGGAAGCGTGTGTCCTGAGTCCCTTCTGTCTCTCGCAGGCCCCGGAGCTGTGAGCGTGCTTGCGGGCAAAGCAGCTCATCCCCCACCAATTTCCCCGTTTCTCCCACTTGCTCCTTGTTCGCCCCAGGGCTGCCCTGCCTAACCCGTCCCCTCCGTGGCCTCTGGCCACCAGCTGCAAGTGTCCTTCGGGTAGATCACAATCAGCCCCTGGCCGAGGTCCAGGAACCCACCCAGCAGCTTCTCCTCATGCAGGAAGCACCAGCTTCCTAACCCAGAGCAACCCCCCACCCCCGCGGTCCTGCCTCCACCCAATCCAGCCCATCCCTAGAGGGAGGAACACTGGACGGACGCATTTGCCACCCGTTGCCAAAACATCCTTCAAAACTTTCATGGTGTTTATTACATTTCAAAAATGAGTCACCGCAGGTCCCGTGTTAGGGATTGTCGTGACTGAATGAGAACGACCGCCAGGCCAGCCGGGCTATGTGTGGGGCTCACCTCCGGGTCTGGATCCCCGTGTCCTCCCGCAGCATCTACACGGGGTCCTGGTGCTCCTCTCCCAGACCTCCGGAGCTGAGGCTGCGCGTCCGACTCTGGGGAAGGTGCCCACCGGGGGCCGAGCCCACGCCCGGGCTCCCGTGTGTCCCGCCCCCGCCCCGCCCTCCCGCGACCTCGGGGGGCCTGTGCAGGGGAGCGGAGGCCGGGCGCGCCATTGCTTTCACTCGCAACACTTCTGACGTCGGGCACGTGGGGTTTCCCGCACCAACAGCCGCGCCTTCAACTCTGCGGATGCCGGCGGAGCTCTTACGGTTCAGTTCAGCTCTGACACCGAGGTCGCGACGTTGGTGCGAGACCCTACAGACGTTCGGCCCCACAGGACGGCCCCCACGTGTCTGGGGCGCCCACTCAGCCGCAGAGCTGAGGGTTCCCACTCTCCCCTCCTCAGATGCCATCATCTTCTAGAACATCTCACAGACTCTGAAAGCACTTGACTTGCTGTGACCAGTTCATTAGAAGGGACGCACTTCAGGAAGAGTCGAGGGGAAGAGAGGCACAGGGCGAGGGCGTGCGGGCCTCCCACGTCCCCCACCGCCAGGGCGCACATACTTCCCGCCGCGTCCGTGTGTTCACCAGCCTGGAAACTCTCCAGATGCTGTTGTTCAGAGGCATTAAAGAGGCTCCATTACAGGTGCCTGGGGGGCTCCGTGGGTTAAGCCTCTGCTTCAGCTCAGGTCATGATCTCAGGGTCCCGGGATCGAGCCCCACATTGGCCTTCTCTGCTCAGTGGGGAGCCTGCCTCCCCCTCTCTCTCTGCCTGCCTCTGTGCCTACTTGTGATCTCTGTCTGTCAATTAATAAGTAAAATCTTAAAAAAAAAAAAAAAAGAGGTTCCGTTACCACACGGTGACTGATGCAGTCACTGGCCGTCCGTGATCAACTCGCTCCGCAGCCACGTCCCCTCGCCGGGGGCTGGGCATGCCAACACTCACACCGGTTCTGCTGACCACCAGCTCCCACCCCGCTCCTGTCCAGAAGCGTCAGACCCCAGGCATCGCCCCCGCACACGAAAGACACTATTACCTCCGGAGACCCCAAACACTTTCTGAGTTCGGTGCCAGGACCCCAAGACGACAAAGACCGAGTGCGTGTTTCCTCCTGTGGCTCGGCCGCACAGGCTTCCCGCCTGGACACACGGCACCCGGCACGGACCTAGCGCCTGCACACGCCAGCCGCCATGACCTGACCGTGACCGTCGGAGCAGCTGGAGCTCCAAGGTCACGCCAAGGACCAACTTCCAGGCGCCCATCCCCCCTCCCCCACTCCTCACGCTGCCGGGTGAGGGGAAGGAGAAGCGACATCACGTGACTGCGACCCTGTGAGGCACCGCAGTGACCAGGCTCTGTCGTCCACGGCTTCAGTAGCACCGAGCTGTGGTAAGGAAGATCATCTTCTTCCATTCCCCTCCGACCCGGAAGAACTAATGGGTTCCTACGTTTTCCAAATCCTGGGGGCCTCAAAATTTCTTGCTGCTTTCCTTAGTCCTGTTCTCACGTCTCCAAATAGCTCATCCCTCAAATTCCCTTCAAGACTCCAGGTCCGTGGATCTCCTGTTTCTCTCTCGGACGCTGCTGCTCCAGGAGGAACCTCATTTGGGGAAATAACCCTGTGCCATTATGTCGCAATTGAAGGGGACTTGGCCGCCTCCCTGACTGCAAGTCCCGGGGACTTTAAGGCAGGAACAAGCCGATCGAGGTGACTGGAAACACACGCCACTCTCCTGTCTGGGAACCACCCCACCAAAACCTGCAGTTGGTACGAAGAACAATTCTGAAGTGAAGGAGAAACATTCATCGGCCAAGAGTAGAGGAATAATTACCTTCCCTTGCAGGAACCACTCAGCCAGGAGTAACAGAGACGTTCACGTTCTCCAAACACCGTCCAGGAGCCGCCGCATCCTCGCAGCTACCTTGCAGTGGGACGCATTCTGGCCGGTGGTTGTGCAGGATGAGGCATAGAAGAGGGGCAGTGGGACTTCCTCAGGCCCCTTCCACAGCTGGAGTGACCAGCACCATGTGCATGGTGAGGCCTCAGGCCCTGAGTGAGTAAGAAAGACCTGTCCCCCGGCCCGTGCCGCGTGAAGCATGAGCCAAACAGGCCCGTCTCTCTTGAGCTGAGTCCGTGAAATTCTGGGGACACTTCCCGCGGCACCAGACCTGCTGGAGCTGACTAACAAGTCGTGGGCTGAGGAGGTGACATTCGGAAGTGCTTGGTCAGGGCGGGACTTGGGACCAACTGCACTGAGCACTTTCGTGTTTCGGGGATCAGAGGCAGTGCCCAAGGAAAGTACCAGAAATATCCCGGACATCGGAAGGTACAATCAGCTCCGTGGCCACCGTAAAGGGACAAAATGTACCAGAATGACAACTACCAAGCGTGTCATTGGACCGGGAGCATACGCCACGCTCCTGTGTCCAGTGGGCCGGCGTCTGCCTGACGCTGCCCAGCCCGGGCTTGGGGGATCCGCCTCTGGAAAGGCAGCTCGTTCCCTAGACGTTTCCTCGTGGAGTGACCGGACGTGCTCTTGTCTCCTTCTTACAATCCGAGCGTGGGGGTCGCCCGCCGCAGACGGCTTCCCAGACCTCGCTGTCCCTCGCGCTCCCGTCTCACACGCAAGAGATCCGTCTCTGGCTTATCTCCCCGGCACGTCTGCCAGCGGTCACGCGAGTTACGTGTTTCCGTGTCCAGGTCGGTTAGCAGACCCGTAAGGAGGGAGAGAGCAGGAACCAAGAAGAGTGAATCCCAATGTAGTTTCTGGGTGAGAGGAGGAAGGAAAGCAGCTTGAGGTGGGGCTGAGACCTCAGAGCGTCTTCCAGAAAAGAAGCAGCTGGCAGGGCCCTGCCCTCCATCTCCCCAGGGCCCGCAGGGGTGCCAGCAACGAGCAGCTGCGGGAGATGGGGTGAACGCCATCCTGGAGGGGTCTCCGCCTCACAGCACACAGCTCCCCAGACACCCGACCCCAATGCTGCCCTCCATGACCAAATCCCGCCCGAGAGGTTTCAGCAAGCGCCCCTCACTCGGGACGGCCGCCCCGCTGGGCCTGGAAGCATGAGTTGTGGAAACGGCGAGCAACCAGGGCAGTGGTTCGCTCTCACAAGTCCGCATGCTGCTCACTCATCATCGGTCTCTGTCACGTGCAGTCAGAAGCCGCTGGAGATGTGACCCCACACCAAGGCGTGTCCAGCAGGTGACAGAGCCACGAGGTCTGTCTCCGCCAGGGCAGACTCTGAGAGCGGTTTCCACGGAGAGCATTTGTGCGAGGGGAGGCGATGAGTGTGGGAATGAGCGGACCGGGCTCTCCGTATCCCAGGATTTGTTCAGAAACGTTGTCTTGTCAACCTATATTCCGTAGGTGGTTGCCCCTGTCTGCCCCGGGGATTTCGCAGGACAACACTGAGAGCAGCAGACTTGGTCCAGGTGTGGGACCATCAGGTGTTGGGATGCTTGTCCCCATGCTCTTTTAGTGCAGACTTTCAGTCCCGATGTTTCTGCCAATACCGCAGCTGTCGGCGGATGCCATGTCCCGAACAGCCGGAATGAGGCCGTCGCTAACACCAGGGCTAAACGAGTTTAAGAAGCAAGCCCTCTGCTCAGGGCACCATGGAGGGGACATGCCGGGGCACACCTACCCTTTTCTTGGCTCCGTCCTTCTGCTGTCCCCTGAGCAATGTCTATGGCATCCTCCTGTCCCTCCAGGAACCACGCCTACCGGGCGTGTCCACCCCCAATGCTGACCTCATGCCTGTGTCCATCAGAGCTGCCGTGCTCTAGTGTCAGGACGCCTGGTGCAACGGAACAAGTTATCACGACCTCAGCCTTCCGAACTCAACAAGCAATTTTAAAATCAGACGTTACTAACGCCCTTCTGAGGTTCTGCTTATCTGAACCCCAGGTGTCACGGCACCTGCGCACTGTGGGACGCCCGGAGCCTTGCAAGCCTGGAAGCCTTCCTCCAAGCCTGCCGATGGAAACGCCTCCCCTGACCGACCAGCCAATGGGAGATGTCCTTACCGGCCTCCGTCGCTCTACACGGAAAACGGTAACCATCCGAGCGGGTTGCCTGGAGTCTGCACCCCCTGACCCTGCTCTCCACTGCACGTCTGGAGGGAGATGCACGCGCCCCTTTGCGCACCATGCAGAGTAGCTAGATTTTCCACGGGACTTTCTGGAGCCCACATCCCATCTCAAGCGTAGACTTCCTCAGGGAACGGCTACCTAGGGGCCACGTTAGAGGCTTTTATGATATTGAAAGTTTCGGAAGCCTGAGTTCACTTACTGACAATGGTGTTGCGGATGGAACTGTGTTTCCTAAGAACTCGGTCAACTTCATCCCGACTTCCAGGCACTGCGCCACTAATACTGGCTCATTTTCCAACACTCTCACCATCAAGGGAGGGGGCAAGAAACGTGTCTACTTAAAACTAAAGGCATTAAGGAGGGATGCCCTTAAGCACGGTGGGATTTTTTTTTTCTTTATAGAAATGATGGCTCTCTCTGAAGGGAGTTAGAGTTGAAAATCATTGCTTTTACTGAAAACCCAATGGTCTAATAGTTTAGGCAGTTTTACATAGAATCTGCCTGTGACATACATAGCTTTTAGCAATAATTTTCAGAGAAAAAACTTTGCCATTAAGTACAGCACTTATCATGTGACGTAAGATGTCACAACCCAGCATTCCCATTTGGGGAGCAGCAGGAGGAAGGAGACCAGGGGTAGCTCAAGGGGGCTGAGTCCAGCCCATAACCGTGCAGCTCCGGTGGCCCTGCCAGTCTTTGTCGCCTCTCCTGGCAAGCGACACGTGTGCCTTTCAGCGGAGCATCTGGGGACATGGCCTTGGCTTTGCAGAGCGGCCCTGACATGCAGGATTCTCTTGTCAAGGTGACATTGCCACCCTTCCTTCTAACCAATTGCCTCTGCAACGCAACGCAAAGCCGGAAGCTGCCTGAGTACCCCAGGAGTCCCTTCTCCGCATGGTCCTGGACTAGAATCGCCCAGAGAAGCATCTGCAAGACGCCGTCACGGAAGGGGCGTTTTCTCCGAAGACAGATGCAGGCAGGCGGTGGGCGCAGGTGACATTCTTAGCAGCTCTACTAGAGGCCCCCACAGGGGCCTAAGACAGGGAGCAGGAGTTCCTAGAGGCTCTTGAGATTGGCAGAGGGCACAGTGAACCCACACTCTGCATCAGGTCTGATGCGGCCGTTGGGGCATGACAATGGACTTGGCAAAGTCACTGTTCCCAAAAGCCCAAGGCATCATTTAAATGGACAAATAAGCAAAAGTAAGTACATCTTCATGAGATATGCGCCCCCGGGGGTAGAACCAGGAGCTGAGGGCAGAAGAGAACGCCCTACCGGTGGAGACGGTTGGACAGGGTGTTGACGTCTCAGCCAGGATAGAGTGGGGGTGGGGCGGGGGGGACACTGGGCGACCACCCCTGAGAGTCCCGCAAAGGTGGTGTGCAGTTGCAAACCCCACAAAAAGTGAATCGTGTTAACCAAGTGTACAGCATTCGTATGCAGACAAACAAAGTCAGAGGAACAAAGTCAGAGACGATGAAGTAAGTGGAGACGACCACTCGCTCATGGATGCGAGGGCCCAGGACGGCTGTGGAGTCTGTTCTTCCCCAAGCGATCTCCTGATCAAGCCCAGTCTCCCTCGG